TTGCAAAAAAGGTAGCCCAAATATTACAATAAATGTTGTTCCCTGTTGCTATTATTGCCAACCTATCAAACGAATATGAAAGAGCGAAAAAACTATTATACTATTATATATTAAGTGTTATTCAGGATAGTTTATCATATTTGCGTAAACAGCCAAAATTTCGCATTTTTACCTTGTGAAACAGGGTCTCTACAAGAATTCAAAATGGCCTCCTGCGTGAATGCAAAGTATTGCACGGCCTCCGTGACGCGCCAAAACGTCGCTGGGTTGCGCCTTTATTTCTGCCGTCATATTTTCAATGCACAGAAGAATGTCATCTACTTCCGTACCATAAACGTCATATTTCATTAACCCCCAACTCCAAAAGCGTTGAGAGAATCTGAGTTATAAAATTCAGATATTGAACGCCTCTTAAATGTTCGGGTAAGAAGTGAGGGACACGGATAGATTCATCCAAAATGCCAATCGATACATTAACAGAGAATCATTCACAGTGAGATACACTACATGCAACATACGCGTTTTCCTCGGCCCCCAAATGCAAATTCGGCGCATTAATTTTGCCAGTTCACACTTCAATTGATCAAAGAACGAAATTCTTGGTTGGCATAGTATTTGCGTAGGAAATGCCTTGTGAATTGAAAACGACGTTATACATCTCTACTGCAATTGCTGCACCCGCTGGAAATGAAAAACTGAATATCTCCGCATGAATTGTTCGCCAGATGAGAGACTGTGACACAGCGCGCTATTTACCTTGTGCTCAGTTCCGGAGCTTCTCGGATAGAATTAGCAGTTGACTTTTCCAGAGAAGAGAAGAGACCTAACGCGAGGTGAAACCGCTAACTCATTTGTCGTAGCATATGGTACACGAATACAACTGCACAGTCCAATGTTTAACGTTAATTATTAACGAAACTACACGACTAAGTTTGCAATTTTGGCAACTTCAGTCTGTACATTACGTACTGGATAAGTTCTCGGCGTATTAGCAACGAGGACTGAATCACCTGTAAATAAAAGAAATAATCCGAAAAATATCTTAACACTTTAAAGGCACCACAGTTTAGTCACAAGTCATGTTAATAGTACGTTTTTATGAAATGTTATTCTGCATTGGGATTCTCATTATCCCCAACGCACAAATTAAATTCGACCAATGAAATTAAGCACCTTTATGGGCATTGTTAACACATATGAAAATAACTACAATTACAAAAGTATTTTATTATTATATTATTATTATTATTATTATTATTATTATTATTATTATTATTATTATTATTATTATTAATAATAATAATAATAATAATAATAATAATAATAATAATAATAATAATAATAATAATAATAGTTGTTCAAATAGGATTTTTTTAAAACTCTTATAATTTCGAGCTCGTGTCAATTGAAACAATTACTATTGATATTACACCAAAACAAGTGAAGCAATTACTATTCCATTCCATAAGCTATAAGGCACCCATTCCCTTACATCTACATAAAGAGTAAGCAACTAAAGCGCAGCAGGAATAACGAAAGCAGTGGACGGCACGTCCATACAATCCAAACAGCTCCGTCGGTGCGTGCAGGGGAGAAAGCAGCTGAATGGAGCTCGTTCCGCGGTTCCCGCAAAACACTGTCAGTGCGTGCTCCCGCGCCAAGGACAATTTCGCGGCCGTGGGGGGCGCGAGGAAGCGCGTGGCGCGGAGTGGAGCGGAGCGGAGGAGAGTGACGCGGCATGGCGCGGTGCGACGTTTACGTTCGCCGGCGCGTGGAATGCGGAATGCGGCGGTGTTGGCTGTGTCACAAAACAGTGTGCCGACTTTTAGGGAAGAACGGAAATGACACGTTTTAGCAAGGACCTTGTTTTAGTCTCGAAACACGCCGTCAACTACATACATGAAGTGAGATCTATTCCGTATCTGTTGGTGTTGTTTTCTTCTTCTACTTCTTCTTCTTCTTCTTCTTCTTCTTCTTCTTCTTCTTCTTCTTCTTCTTCTTCTTCGTTTTCTATCAACTTTCTTCTCTTGCCCTTATGCACAAGCATTCGAATGAAAACTAAGTAGACTCTCGACTGCACGATTACATTCTATACGGTATGCCGACCCAGAATTTAGTGTTACGAGTTGGAAAATCTACTTCAATTCGTAAGTTTATTTAAAATTAAAACAACATATTTTTTATTTATTGGAACTTATTTTACTTCTCGAAAACTTATTTTACTCACTGCATTGAAGTAAAAGAATGTATAACATTTCCATTTTATCTTTCTTTGAAAGTCTGTCTTCATAGAATATTTTGACCTATATTGAAGATATTTTTACTTTCCCGTATACGTACGAATATACGAAGTTTTATATGAAGTATAGGGAAAGTTAGGTAATGCTGCGAAAATCGATTTCGAGATTTCAACGTTTTGGGGTCTCCTGATACCGAAAAAGTATATTTTTTTCAAAACGTTCGTCTGTCTGTCCAGTCCATCTGTGAACACTACTAGCGGGAAATCCATGAATAGGATTTTTTCCAAATAGAAGAAATTCCTGTTGATCTAAGTCGAATTCTTGAGATTTTTAAAAAATATCTTTAAAATTTGGGGGAACTTTGCATACGGCCCCACAGACATTTTCAAAATTTTCTCAAAAACTGCTTTAATTCTTTTCTTTAAAATTCTTGAAATAATAGAGTAAAATACACTTAAAAAAGTGTCATAGGTCCAATTTTCACGGTTAATACCGAATTTTCGAAAATTTCAAAAACAGCTCCAACTTTGTCCTTTAAACTTTTCGGATAGTGCTAACTGCACTCTTTTATGTCACCTAAGGTTAATTTTCAGGTATTTTCTTTTTGCAAAAATTATACAAATGTAATTTTTTTGAAAGATTTCACACGCCGTTAATGCGTACATTTCCAACAATTTGTAAACAATATGGTATTTGTGAGTTAAAGTGCTTCAAATTACTTCATTAGAAGTTTTTCGAAAACTCAACAATGTTTTGTGATAAAGAGCTTCAAATTTCGAATTTACAATAGCGCTTAAACGCCATTTTTAAACACGACTTCGCGTTCTAAGAAAATTTACCCTTTAGTAAGAGGATTTACAGTTATTTAATGTTCTTAAAACAATTTTTCGTTCTTCTAATAGGAAACCGAAACATTAAGAAAATTTCATTAAAAGAAATTTGGGCGGAGATAGCAGGCTGCTGGTAAGAGTATGTGGCAAGTCCGAATAGTTGGCTGAGTTCAAAGGAAATAGAAAGCAATACGGGAAAGCCTGTGCCATTCTGTTGCACCATTAGTTTTTACTTCATTATACTAGAGCTCATCATCTAATCAAAATCAATATTGTATCATTTGCCACTATACATTATAAATTTCAATAGAGGCATTAAAAAGGAACTTATTGGGCAAAATATCGTTTGAAAGTTAATCGTAATACTTTTCTTTCATTTCTCGTATACTTCGCATCAAAACATGAACTTCTTGACAGTATGGTATCCTTTCTCATTTGATAAGACTGTGAAACCATAATTGTAACTAAACAAAATTACATTTTATATTTTTGGTTCAAATATTTGCCACTAAAACTTCGTGTTTTCCTCCCGATATAAAACATTTCTGCCTACATTCCTCGTGTCTCAATATCTGCCACAGTGCGCACTGCGCGACAACGCCGTCTGCACCACATGTCGCGTCGCTGTTGGCCGCCTCGCTGTGAATGGAAGCGTTATGTAGTGCAGACAAGAACGAATGGACTACGGCCGCCAATGAATAGAAAGCGTATGGGCGAAGGAGTGGAAAGCAGTCTGATTCACAAAACAAATTAATATGGAGCGGCTGCGAGTTGTATAAATGCAATTAGCTAATTATTAATTTTATTTGAGTACATAGGCATTAGAATACGTTACAAAGATTTTTACATTCACCTGTTTCCATAATTGCTGTTTACATCTCAGCCCAGCATGACGAATGAAGTCCCGTTTCACGACGTCGGTGTTCCGGACGCAATGGCTTTTTGCACCAGACACCGTTTCTTGGAAGTTTCGCAGGAAATATTTTTTTAATTGATTTAACTCTCTTTGATATTATGATTCATTTCAATATAGAAAATAAAAGGAAACATTATTTCTGGGTCACTATTCGTAAAAAAAAGGTAGGCTAATCTAATTATATTGAATTGTTCAACACATGTAATCAAAGTGAACACGAAAATTACTGTAACCTTTACAATTGAAACGTTGCGCTACAACAGCATATACATTCTCCTATTATTTGTAGCAGTAACATAACACTTTTAAAAACAAAAGTATTACTACCTGCTTGACATATTTGTCTTTCGGGGGTTTGGAAATTACAAATAAATAACTGGCGATTTGATACTCGCAGGAACCTGTAACAGGAATTATGAACATTTAAATTTTGAAAGGGGTATGTTATTAAAAAAAGAAGTTTGTAAATTAAATATAGACTAGAAGGATAACGTATTGTAAATTTATGATATGTTTGACCTAAATTAAAGGCGTGTCTGTTGACAGTCATATAAGGAGTTGAAAATGTAAAGCTTAGTGAGCAAATGAGGGAATATATAGTATCGGTTTTCAGTTCGTGATGGAGCTGAGGGTTGTAAATACACCAGGGCATATGATTTTTTTTTCGGATGAATTTATTTTAGAGAATTTGTATTTTATTACCATTGTTTTTTTCAACATTAGACCAGATGGCGCAAGCGCAAGTAACGGTATGAGAATAACTGTGGTATATATTAATTTTGCTAGTGAGTGTAATTTGTGAATTTCTTTTTTAGCTTTATAGATAATATTTTAATATGCACATTACATTTAAATTTAGTGCCTAAAAGGAGTCGTGAAGGGGTGATTGGTTTGGAAATATTTTAACTTGACATTTATCCATACTAATTTTAATTTGCCATTTAGAGGTCCCATTTGAATAAAGCAGGAGATCGGACTGAAGTCAATTTTTGTCAGTTGTTAAAGTTTTATTACCAATGAAGAATGCAGCCAAAGAGGATTAATTCTGGGTAAGTTGATTCTGATAAAGTTGGGAATATCAGAGAGATGGCTGTTAAAAAGTAGAGGTGACACACAGGACTCCTGGGGCACGTCCGCGTGAACTGAAAATACAGCAAGTAACCAAATTATTATACTCACTTGGTTTTTGAGGTAATTTTAAAGTTTATTCGTAAATGTGTGGACCTGATTTTATATGAAATTGTTTGGTGGTTTATTTTATTTATTTGAAGTATATTTAGGAAGTAATAAAATTTTTAAAAAATGTTGGTTTAATATTTCAAAAATTATTTATGACTTTGAAAACAAATTCTTCCGTATTTTGTAAGCGTTCCCTTGGCATTCTTTAGAGCTTTGATGCATACTGACTTGCTTGTGATGAATTTTATGGCCCTTTTGGTAAAGGAGGAGAATTTTACCACACCCTTGTGATTTTCACGATAAGTTCTTTCTTGGTTGAAATAATTTAATCTTCGACATTTCTTCTTTTAATTCCTCCCACACATTATCCATCGGATTCGAATCCGGTGAGTTCCCAGGCAAATCTAGGGTTTTTACGTTGCTTTTCTTGAGAAAATTTGTTAATTTTGGTGCTTTGTGGAAAGAAGTTGAACTGTGCGTGAACACAAAGTCATTCGGAAACTATTTTTTCACCTGAGGAAGGAGATTTTTCTTGTGGCACCTTTGGTCCTGACACATAGCTTCTTTGCACAAAGTAGAGCCTTCCTGTGCCTTGACAGCTAATAATCGACCATATCAGAACAGAAAGAGGATGTTTTACTCGTTCCACAATACAGTTATTATTGTACTTTTCGTTACATCTGCGAATGAACTGTCTTGTCTTGCAAGATCTGGATTGACGACAAGTCTTAAAGGGTAATCTTCGCAATAATATTTTTAGAACATTTTATTCTCTGTTTTCTGTTTTAATTTCTTAAACACATTACAAGTTTGTTCCAATCTTCTTCGGTCCAATTCCATTACTTTTTAGCAAAATGTAAACTATTTTTCTACATTTCGGGTGTGAGTTTGGGTTTTTTACAGGTTATCGACAATTGAGATCGATTTCTACAAGCCTTCTTCTGAGGGTACGCTCTGATACATGCACTCCAGCATCTTTGAGAATCATGTTTACACATTTCTGAGGTTTCCGACGGTTGTATATTGCAATGCGTCGTATTTCTCGTTCAATTGTTGGCGAAGTGAATTTTTTCTGTCACAATTTCCTACTCTTTTGCTTCTTAAATGGACATCCACTTGACGCTTTCTTCTGATATTTCAAACTGTTGACTGCAAAACTTTTTCCTAACGAGCAATCTCTCTTTGTGTGTACTTACAACGGCGAATCAATTGTGCAATTCGTCCTTTTTTCGTGGTGTAAGATCAAAACATTTACCAATGAAATTTAAACAATTTTTAGGTTCATGTTCTTGATGTTGTGGTGCGTTATCGTTGGCATTTTTCATGAAATAATTATAGACGTTGTCATTGCCAACAATAGTATTTAATATAAGAGCAGCTTTCGATGGCTTAGCCATCATCATCATCAGTTGTCTGCTGGATGGAAGCCACAAAACGACTGGTAGTATTTTAACTACCAGTAACATTTTACTTTCTTGCTAAGGAGAGAGAAAGTTATGTAATGCTGAGCGGAAAAACACTGAAATTTCGAAAAAAAAAATTTATTACAGGGCCCCGGTAACGAAGAAATGGATAAATCTATTTCCCAGAATCCATTTTTGTGGGACCTTGACATCGAAAAATCGAATGACGGCAAAACGTTTATCTGTCTGACCGTCCCTCCGTTCGTCTGTGATCAAGCGGTTAAACAGATTTTCTCCAAAATTGATATTCCCGGATTGACCTGGCTGATGTCGCGGGATGTTAATTTTGGGAGGTACATAAAGCGCCTGGGTCATTTTCAAATTTCCAAAAAAGTAGAACATCGTTTTTGATTAAATTTCGTTATTGAATAGTGTGAAAGACGTTTAAGAGAATGGTGCAGGTCTCATGATGGTTGAAAATCCTGATTTTTTGAAAATTGCAAAAGTCTAAAATTGGTTCGGAGTCTCCCTACAACTAAAGAATTAACGATATTGATTTTTTCCTTAATGAAATCTGTTCCTTAAAGATAGATTTTGAAAACAAATCATATATAATTTTTTCGAACATTCTAGTACTTCTCGCGTAAAATTGCGTGACAATACGGGCGAGAAAGTAGTGCAGTTTTAGCATTTCTAATTCGTGCTTGCGCACGGGTTTGTTAAGTTGGTAGTCGTTGTTTGGGGCGTTCGTCTGAGAGGGACTGTTTGAGAAAGGCACAAGATTCAAGATTCTTTGTTTAGTCTGCGAAATATAATTGGTTGACCTACGAGAACGAATGAGGTTTATGTCTAAAAAGGTCGCAATTTGCTTTGATCTCGGGTAACAACTATGAACACTAGTTACACCCGACAGCAATTTATGGATTGAATTTTAGACACGGCTGAAACATGAAAAATGTTACGAAATAATATTTAAGTGCAGAGACGGACTCAATAATTACGTAACAGACCTTCAACCAATTTTTATGACATGGTCTGTGTACGGAGGAGGCCAAACAATTATCTGAGTTTCTATGTCCATGAAGCATTAATACGTCCTATTACAATCCCTCAAGACGCATTTCCCCTTACCGCTTACGTTAACTTTATTTCTTCGCAGACCCAGTCGGTGGCAACGATGTCTTTGAGAAGGCATCGCCGCCTGACTTGACTTGTGAGCTCAAAATACTAACGCCTCGGCGCGGAAGAGGAATGCCCTCTGTCCCGTTGCGTTGGACGACTGTCCCCACAGAGCGGCCTGCTTGCTCACCAGACCTTGAAACGACGAGCAACTTCTGAGGAAACACAAGAATGGCGCTCCGAACAGTCGAATTGCAACGCCAAGAGAAAAGAAAACAGTTTATTGCGAACGCTGCTTTGCATGCTCCGGAATAACGGTACCAAGAAACTGCAATATCTCCAGAAAAATAACGGCTTCTAGCATGCAATTTTCTTTGATGAAAAAGCTGTATGCAGTAGATTTACATCTAAAGCATTGCAGGTTACAAGCAGTAAGAAGTAAAGTGGAATGTACAATGGAAAAATAACAGAGATAATAATAATAATAATAATAATAATAATAATAATAATAATAATAATACATGAGGAATTTCAAACCTTAATGTAAATTAAAGACATTTACTGTTTAGTTTAGGTGTATTTGAATATGGAATGTTAATAAATCCCAGGTTCAAATGTTTTCTTCCCAAATACTAACCTACATTTGAAGAAAGTATCTACGTGAGAATATTTATGTGCCAAGAATCAATGTTAATAATTAATATTATTACATGCCATAGAAAATATTTGGTACCATTATATTTAAAGAAAAATAAAACTTTACAATAGGCAATTTAGAAACAATGGATATGATAAAACTACAGTGTTTAAACTCAGAGTACAAAGCTCATTCCTCAGTTTACATAGCTCAGTAAACCCACGGGAATTTTGTTCATTCTAGGGATAACTTGTGCAATTACCACGAATTAAAATCGCCTCTACCATTCGCAACACCTAACACGAACTAATTAATCGAAGCAAACATCCAGAGGCCCAAGCGGCAACTTACACGAGAACTCGGGTGGCAATCTACGCGGCTCCGGCGCCGTTCCAGTGCGCTCCGGTTAATTCCGAGCGACTTCTCGCCGCGTTAGCTTGGGGCACTTCCGCCGGGGCGGAGGCAGGGCCGGCGGGCGCGGGCGCGGGAGCGGGCGCCCCACCGCGATGCAACCCACGCGGCGGCAGCGGTAGCAGCGCCCGCGCCCGCGGGAACGAGACGAAATTGAAGCTCATTTGCGCCGGTGACGTCACTCTGGGCGTCGCAACCTCTCGCCTCTGTCCCGCCGCGTCCCGTCCCGTCCTTTTCTCTTGTGCCCTAGCATGTTCTTCCATGATGGTGTGTCCCAACGGTGTTGCCTTCATCTCAATGGTCCACTTCGTTCAAGTAAAAAAATCGCCAAACTCCAGAAAAATTGATCGATTGGAATCAATGAGCCAAGGATGGGATTATTGTTAAGCAATTTTAAATTAATAAACCACTTTATACTTTCAATTATCTATTTTCTCCGCTTTTATTGACCTACATTATTCATAATAAATCGTAGAAATTCAAACAATTTACACTCAAGATGGGAAAAAAGGGTCTTAAAAATGAGATTACAAATCTGTTAATGTATAAAAAGTTAGTTTAAAGACAATAATTTAATGAGATTATATCGAATGTTTTAGAAATTCAAACTCCGTAATAAAAAAACTGATAAATTTGTAAAATATGTTACTTTAATTTGTGGACCGAATACAGAGTGCCACTGCAGAAGATTCCCGTTACTAAAGCGAGTAACAAGATAACGGATAACGGATGGTAGCCATCAATTAAGAAACACAAAGTATGGTTCTGTGACATAATAAAATTGAAAAGAATTATTGTGACTTGTAACTACTAAAAAGAAGTCTGACAATTATTTTACATTATTGTAATAAATGTACGAAGCGGACAACTATTTATGTTTCTTCAAGCATATAAGTAATCGATTCCAATGTATGAAGGAGATTTTGAAATTTTGTAATGTTGCTTTCTTTTATAAATTACAGTAATATGTCTCCGATATTCAATAACAATATTATACTTCTATTAAAATACGAAAAATGTAATTGACATTTGTACAAAATAAACTCTCTGTGCCCAATGTTAAGACTTTTATGTCTACGTACATGAACACCGAGATTCGTCATGTGCACAAAAATACCATGGCGTTTTACGTGTGTCAATCACATACCTACTTTTGTTATTTTTTCACCAAGATAATAATTTTTTCTTTCCCTTTACCATGACTGCTATTATGTCTTTTAAGTGTAGTCGTTTCTGACTACACTTAAATATATAATTGTCATCATCCCGTCTAGTTGTTGGACGCAATTACTCTAGGAGAATATATTCCGCAGTCGTAAAGGAATCCGTATTGTGACCACGTTACTGAGTAACAATCCATTTTAATAATTAAATTTGTTCAAAGAATTGCTTG